GATGTCCTTCCTGAAGACCAGAACTCTGCTTCTGTCAGTGAAGATCTTAACTATGGCCTTGACCCTGCTGTGTCCATGGAAACTTCCTGGACCCGCCTACTCTTCTGTCAAAGGACAGAGTGCTCCAGAGCAGGGCTTCCCAAAGGAACCCTAACGTGGCTGTGAATCACCTGGAGGTTCCCCTAAGATGCAGCTCTGCTTTAGTGCATCCTAGGAGGAGCTGCAGGTGATCCTGGAGTCAGGGCTCGCAGTTTAATAAGCTCCCAGGTGATGCCAATGCTGCTGGTCCCTAGGCCACACTTTAGAGGCCTTTGCTCAATGGTTCGCAGCCCAGATTGCACATGAGAGCCATCTGGGGAGCATTTCAAACCTACCAACACCCAGAGCCCACCCAGAACAACTAAGTCAGAAGAATCTCTGGAAAGAGAGCCTGGACACTGGCATATTTTGAAAGCTGGTTCTAGCGTGCAGCCCAGGCTGAGAATTCCTGACCTGCATACCTGGGAGCCTAAGAAATCCAAGATATCTATTCCAAGTCTCCAGGGATCCTCAGACCCCAAGGTCTTCTGAAGCCACAGACTTGGGCTGGGGCCAGGACGAGGGCCATGGAAGAGGCAAGGAAGAACAGAAGATGGGGTGAGTAGCTTTAAGTGGGAATGTGTCTTCTTCAGGGATTCTGCCCTGAGTCTTCCAGGGAGTCCTGAAGGAACGAGGAAAAACAGTTCATGTACTAATTCCCAACTTTCCTAAACCTGCCACATATATCCTCTCCAGCCTTAGGGGGAGGTATTATCATCTCAAGCTGACAGATGAGGACATCAAACTCAGAGAGGCAAAGTGATTTGCCCAAGGCTGTAGAGGCAGGCTTTGAACCCAGCTTGGTCTGATCCCCAAAGCCCACGCTTCTTCCACTCTAATTATTGCCTTCCACCTGCTGGGGAAAGGGTCCGGGGGTAACCTTGCCTAGGGATGCTAGAGGCTGGACCCTTCAGGCCTGGCTGAGCCAGGGGTCCCACTCTGCCTGCTGAGACAGGCTAGACTCAGGTGATAGAGGGGCATGAGCAAGCACCTGGAAGTCAAATGGCTCTGGGTTCCAGTCTGTCTCTTACTAGCTGAGTGATCTTGAGCAAGTCATTACTGTCTCTGAGTGTCAGACTAGTTCCTTCTTGGTCAATAGGGATGGTAAAGCCAACTTCACAGGATCACTAGGACAAGGAGACGAGGGCTAGGTGCCTAGTGGTTGGTGTCGATTTTCCTCTTTCGAGGGGATGGAGGTTCACGGAGCAAGGGCTTTAAGGTTCCAAGGCTCATAACTCTTGACTCCCACTCTCAGAAGCTCAGAGCCCATCTCTTCAGAGCTTTGGCCAGGTAACCACAGGCTCCTCCACTCTGGGGCGACACCAATGTCAACACTAACCCAGTGTGTCCCACATGATGCACTGGGGCTGCACAGGCCTGTCTGGGCTCATAGCTGCTATCCCCACCATACAGGCAACACTGGACTGGCCCCTCTGCCCCAGAAGCAGGAGCCCATAGGAGATCTTGGGGTGCAGCCTCAGCTTCTCTCCTATAGCAGACACCCTGTTTCCTCTTGGAGAACACAGCTCTTGCGTTCAAAATCCCTTTCTGTAAAGAGAAGCAATGGGCCTGGGCTATCTCCAAGGAACCTTCTAGCACTGGTCAGCCTTCCTTTCCTCTCCCAGAATGCCCCTTGGAGAACCATCCCATGTTTATTGCTGCTGAATGAAGTGGTGCCTACCCACTTGGCTGAGTGGGGCTGAAACTGATCCATTTACCACCCTATGTACCTGCCCAAAAGGGCTTGTTTGCTAATTGGCGCAAAAGCGCCCCACCCACCATGCCATCAGAAAAGAACTTACCTTCTGTGGGCCTCAGTTTCCTGTTCTATAGAATGGAGACAGTGATGGGTGCCCAGTGAAGATTGAATCCCTCCCTCCCCTCCCCTTCCTGTTTATGAACACACACTTTCTCCTCAGCACCAGCCCCACCCCTGCACCCCTCTGATGACCAGTCACTCCAACAAGCAGAAACCAGGAGCTGGGGTGTGCCCTGGTCCTCACCCTGTGTTTCTATTTCCATATGGCTCCACAGGAGCTCCCGTGCCCTGCCAGGGCAGTCGAAGGTGAGGGTGAGGAGAGGAGGGAAAGGGCAAGAGGAGGGGTCTGCAGGGGTAAAGGCTGGAAGCTGCCCACTGTGCTCAGGCTCACGTGCTTCTCTCTGCCAGTCTCTGTTCTGTGTGTCTGTGACTCCCTGTCCACGTCTGAGCCCATGTGCCTGTCTGGGCACCTGAGTGTGTGTATAGAGTATCCCTGTGACTTTCCCTGTGCGCATTACAGAATCCCTTGTGTCTCTTGGTCTGTGTTGTATGTGTGTGTGTGTGCACACGGCTTCTGCATGTGACATGTGTATAGGGCTGGGTACATGTGTGTGAAGCAAGGCCATCTCTGTATGTGTATGTATGCATGTGAGTCTATCAGCATGTGGTGTGTGTGTATCTTTGTGTACGTATGAATAGGCATTGAGGGTGTGTATGGGTATGAATGCCTGTGTGTGTCAAGGTGGGTGTGTATTAGTGGGTGGGATTATCGGGTGGCAGTATCTGTGGAGGGTTAGCGTGTCACCATGGGTTTCTAACCGTCTACACTGCATATGTGGAGTAGGGAGTGTGTGCATGTGTGGGTGTGTGTAGTCTGGGCAGAGCATGTCAGCATATGTGGGATGTGTATCCGATGTGAGACTGGGTGAGAGCATCTGTGTGTGCTGTGTGGGTGTCAGTGTGGGAGTGTGCACGTGGTGTGCGCATGTGTCTTTATGTGGCTCTACCTGGAAATGTTTCAGTGTGGGAGGAGAGTGCCTACGTATGCAGGAATCACCACACACTGACCTGTTTATCAGTGCGTATTAACGCAGGGCGTTGTCTGCCCGTGCGTCTGTGTGGAGCAGATCAGGGTGTGCGGATGTGTGTGTGTGCGTGCATGTCTATATATCTGTGTGTCTGCGTGGGTCTGCACCTTTCCAGCTTGGCTGGGTCCCGGCACTGTAAATCCATCAACTCCACATGATTTTGTCAATTCTGACAGCTAACTTCGACATGACGACAAATCTGGCCCCAGAGGATATTAAGCAAAGACACATGAGCCTATAATTTTCTGCTTCCACGTGTGAGATGCTATAATAATCAAAAGAAAATGAGTTTCTAACTACCCCAGCTCTTTGTGCTGTTGCCTTCATGCCGGCTGCACTAATTGAATCACCCGGCACCACTGTATCAATGGTAACTTGGGTATTGGGGGGTAATCAGGCGTGTGGGGGGGACCAGCTTGGAGAGGTGCGGGGGCTTTTGTGAAGGTCCCATCTGCCTCATGCACCAAAGCTGCCCGCCGCCTGCCCGCCCGCACTTGGCTGGACAAGTGAGCGACTGCAGGGCAGCCCCTCGCTCACCCTGGGAAGGGTTGGAGAGGGGCTGCCTGGGGGAGGGGACACCTGCACCCAGATGCTGCAGCTTGGGCTCACGGTCCCAGAGAACTGGGCAAAAATAATGAAGATCTGATTTTAGAGGACCTACTTGAGCTCAATCCTGGCTGATGGCCTTTCTGTTATTTGACCTCTGGGTCCTGGTGTCCTAAGTAGAAAGAGGGACAACCCGTCCACATCCCCAGGGTATAGGGGGAATAAGTGCGGACATACAGACTACATGCCTCAGGTGCTGGGCATAGAGAAGGCGCTGGGATGTGGTCATGTTTTTGCCACTAGCAAGTTGGGCAGTGTTTAGTGGGATAATGTGTCAATGTGACCCTGTGAAGATCCCATCTTACCTCTTCACAAACTGAGGCCACAGAGATTAAGCAGGATGTGTGTGTGTGTGTGTGTGTGTGTGCTCAAAAAGGGAGGAGGAACAGCGGTGACTTCTGGGGCTCCTCCAGCAGTCCTGTGACTCAATACAATTAATAAAGGTGTGATGGTGTGCACCCCAAAACATAGTTACTGGAGGCTGGAGGATTGCAACATTAAGACCAGCCCTCTCTCTCTATGTTAGCTCCATGGACTGGGGGTTAATGTAACTGGATCCTACATGGCTGACCACATGGTTCGAGTCCCAGACCTGATGGCTTGAGAAACATGTAGGGTATGTATGTGTGCGTGCATGCCCAAATCCCAAAAGGTGGGAGAGATGGACAAGAAGGGTTTGTAGCATGACCATTCCCCAGGGGAGGTGCTTTCTCCTCTCCCTTTTTTTCTGTTGCTCTCTGGCAAGCACATGTGTCCTCTAGCAATCAATCAATCAATAATAAAGTCACTTACCATGGAGCACTCATTGTGTATTACGCACAGAGTCTTCACAATGAGTTTACAAGGAAGAAGTGCAATTATTAAAGACAGGCTGAGGAACTTGCTCACATGGTTGGCAGGTGGAGGAATTGGGCTTCAAGCCTGGAAACTTTGTCTTCATTATTTGGTGGGAGAGGATAAAGGATGCAAATGAGGTTTGTCTTTTAAAAAAGAATTATTATATTTCATGTCTATTATATTTTGACTTGATCAGAGAGAGAGAGGGAAAGCGAGAAAGCAAGCTGCCAGATCTGAGACTCGAACCGTGGTCAGTCATGTGGGAGTCCAGCGCCTTGACCACCACCATGCCATCTGACAGCCCCAGAGATGAGGTTTGAAGGACCAACACATAGGAAAAAGTGCCTTGCTTATTAAGAGGTGAAAAGCAAATATGGAGACAAGCAGTTAGCGTAATGGCTATGCCGCTGGACTCCCATGCAGTTGACCACAGTTCGAGTCCCAGACCCAGTGACTTAAA